AAGATTTAAAGATGTATTTTTAAAAATCAGATTTTATGATTTCGTTGATTACTGTAGCCTCATATTGAAGTATAATAAGCAGTATTTTAAACTAAAAGATAAACTGTATAAGACAACAAGAAAGAATTTTACCTAAATTAATTTTTCATAATGTAGTAACAATAACATATAACATATCTCGCTAAGATAAGTAATAACTGATAATCTGTTTTCATGTTACTTTTAAATATGATTAATTTGGAGAAATTTTTTGATAAAATATCGCGATAGTCAGAAAAATAAGTGCCACATGAGCTGTTTGTCATTTCTGTTTTGACATTATCATTGATTAAATATTTTATTTTATATATTTCTTTTCTGTCAGGGTTTTTGCCCTGCCATTCGGATTCGGCCTGGCCCACAATAGAGGCAACCGGGTGGTAAGGAACGAGGGCATATTATATAGGGTCGTGGGTGCTAAATCGCTCTCTATTCTTGACTATCGCAATTTCTATAAGCTTCCGATGGATATTGTGGACGGTGATATTCGATTTCTATCTATCGCTATCCAGACGAAATATGAACATTTCTGAGGATCCTACCGACGCCGTGTTCAGTAACGCAGAATTCTGACTTACTCATTAGTCAGGTTTGCCACGATTTGGACGATATTCTTAGTAATTCTGATTCTGCATACTGTAAGAATTTTTATTCATTTACTCAAACTACCTTTAGTAGACTTTTTGTGCTTAGTGATGTCACTCCGTCTCTGCTTTGAAGAATTTTACGCTTACGACTGCTCGTGCTGGATTAAATAACTTAATTTTTAAGATAAAGAAGTTGCTATTTTACTATATTTATTTTATTTTATGTTCGTCCGTTAGTTTTCCTAGTTGTACGGCTAAGAACAATTGTTCAATATTACAGTGGCGTGCCGTCATTAGAAGCGGTGGAAGTGCCGCTTCCCTTGTATTTTATAAAAACTAAATACATATTAATTTTAATTATATGAAAATAGTCGCACAATATTTTATTATAACCGCATTATGTATCTTATTACAAATTTCTATACTACACGTGAGAAAAAATAAGATTGCTATTGTATATTCGAATATTAGTGGCGGATTGGAATCTCTGTATTGTCAGATTCCAAAAAGCCAGATTTGCGCACGCGCTTTACAGAGCACCAACCTCACCCGGTTTAGCCGGTGGAAGCCTTACGACCTCGAGTTGATGCTACACATATAACGCTTCCAATTCTATCCGGGACCGGTTCTGGGCTGTTAGCCGCCCACCCGCTAGATATTTGGCCGATTACGTGAATAACGAGTAGATTTATAACTTAACGCAACCGATAAGAATTTACTGGTATGTTTTTACCATAGTTCTGTATAGTTGACGGGAGTTAAAAAATCCATTAAAATATTTGATATATTTATTCCGCTCTCCGATTTTATATTACTCACGGATTTCGACGTTAAACCGGTGATATTACGATTTCGTACGTCCCATCTTTAAGGGGATGTAGATAAAAACGTGTAAAATTCTTGTATAATGTTAAAAACTTAACCGTTACTTCGACAGCATCATTTACAACTAAATTTAATGAATGAGAGAGATGCGCGAGGTACGGAAAAAGCTCCAGAATTTATTTTCCTTAAATTTACGATTTATGTATCCGTTTGTCGTAAAAATTTGTCTTTCCACTTTTTTCCCCAGACTACAAATATTCGAGTACGAAGTAACCGGTTTCTACTTATTTCTACTTAAGAAGTACTGTAGTTAAATAATTAAGCGATTAGGGAATTAGGGACGTAAACAAAACTCTGATGAGAGCCGGAATATTACTTAAACAAAAGCTTAACCGACCCAATCTATAGCCGAGTCAGTGGGGACTGATTTCTTCGAAATACTGTATTAGATGTAATAAAGACAGAAATTTTTCCAATTCAACGAGAGTGACCGAAAAGTTGTAAATTTTGGAAATTTTCGTGGACAACACCTGGTCCTAAAACGAATTAGTTAGAAAACAAATGACTATTAAGTTTAACATATTTAGATTTTTACAGCTATGGTGAGAAACGTTTAAAATCTACAACAGCCCTGTCGCGTCCTTTGAGATATACTAATGATGCGACGAAAGAGGTACTGTATTTGACATTGACCGGTATCGGCACCCTCGGGATTTGGCAGTTCGCGTGTATGCACGCTCTGAAACCGTCTTCGATTTCATCCATTAGCCACTCGTAGGGAGCTATTTGACTAAGTGCATTGTTTTAAGATTTAAAAAGTAAAGAATATTTTATATTTTTATGTACGTTTCTTTGCAAAGCTATATTTAATTATAATTTTCTTTAAAAGTATATTCATATACTTGAAGAATATTTTGTATGTACAGTACCCCTGTTTTTATTATTCTTATTATTATTGTTAGTCTGTATAGTTTTAGTTTAATTTAAATTCTAGAATTTTCCTTCTTTCCGATTTCTGTGTTCCTTTGTCTTGGACTTCCGAGAACTCGCCTCATATCTAACCCATCATGGGGTAGTGTTAGAACAAAAGGAGAAACGAGGCTGGAGGGGAAAAGGAAGAGTTTCTAGAAGCATTCTTAGGCCGGACTCGGAGAGAGACAGACGAGTGGCAGCAGGCTCTTGAACGGAAAGTCGAGAAGCGCTGCAGAAGGATGTCGTAAGAAGCGGATCGGTAGAAGAATCCGGTCGACGATTATAGAGAAAAAACCCTAAAACGGACCCGAGTTGTTCTAATAGGAGAACAGACGAGAAAGAGAAGTCGAGACGAGGAACGGTGGAGAACCAAATGGAAAATTGGCTACCCTCCTGTCCTTTAATTCTTCTCATTTCCTTTTCTACTTTTTCTATTTTTAGTTTAAGTTAGGTTAAGGTTTACGCGTGCAAATAAATTGTCGGGAGGTAGTTATTGAGAAATTAACTACCGGTGTATTGATATACTTGGTCACTCAAGATTGTGGAACCGATTGAAGAACAGCGGGAATCCGAACCTATTCTGTGTATATATTTCAAATTCAGCGCGAAATTAAACTCGTTTAATTGGTAAAACGTGTATGTGTTTACCTGTCCGCGTTGAACATTTCACACCAGTACATCCACCACATATTTTATTTCACAAAGTAAGTTTTTATTATTTTATTTTTAATTGTAGCCCTTATATCGTGGCTAGCAATTCGGAATGTAATTGTGATATTAAAAATGCATTTAAAGAAGTCTACGGTTTTTACTGGCTTATCGAATAAACGATACGAATGGACCCTAGATCATCACTGACTTGCGATTGACTGATTGCCCCTGGATGTCGGCTTCTTACAGAAACATAGCGTCCCTATCATCAAATGTCACGGCACGCCCCTGTTTAATAATGCTCAGAACATTCTTAGCTCCTCTCAATAAGCCGCTCAGAATTCTGCGTCATTGAACACGGCCCAGGAGTCTCCCAAACAGCAAGCATGCTTTAGCCAGCCAGTCATTAAATTGTCAACATTTTAATATCAGTATGATTAGTAATATCTACAGCCAAGTTCATTAACATTGAATAATCTATGTAAATTCAACAGACTAATACTGTACCAGAACTGTCAACAACGGAATGACATCAACATATTTTAAACACGACTTATTCTTAAACTCTCAGGATTTAATTTAATTAATAAGTTGTTTGATAAAACGGACGGACTGTTTAGTTCTATTACGACGTCAGGATCAATTCAACACTAGCATATTTAATAAAGTAAGTTATATGTCGAGATAAAACTAATCCGAACGAAGATTGAGAACCTGTTAAACACATTAAGGATACAGATTTCATTATTTATACTAGAGTACTTAGATTAACAGGTATTCTAATTTTTATTATCGTATCATTATAAAATATTCGTTTCTGTAAATGACAACTTCGACAATAATTCAGTCATGTCAGGACCGGTTTCGGACTGTTAACTGCTTGAGTGTTACAGATATTTGGACAACTCTTACCAATACTGATTGCGAATAAATTCATAACCTAACCCAATCCATGAATTAACGGCCGGATGGCCGAGAGGTCAAGGTGGCAGCCTACCGCTCTGGGGGACCCGGGATCAAATCAGGAATTTTTTGGGAGTGGTCCGTTTGGATAAGTCTGGCCCCGTCCCCCATCACTCCATTTTGGATCTCGCCGTACCCATAATGGTCTTGTTAAAAGAGGCCCTTTTAGTGCCCACAGGGCGGGAAGAGCTTTAATTAATTAATTTAAAAAAACCCACGAAAGTCTACTGGCATGTTTTACGACATTTTGATATAGTTGACAGAGGTAAAAAATGTCCATAAAAACATTTGATATACAGTACTGCAGCTTAAATTTATTTTAATTTTATTCAAATCAAGCCGCCCCATAGATAACAGGCGCCGTTGTTCAAAGTTACTGTATATTTTAGCGCAGTCATAAAATAGAATTTGCAAATTAAAATGAAAATTTAAAATTTATTTTTAACTATTTCCGCCCCGTGGGCACTAAAAGATCCACTTTTAGCAAGCCCATTACGGGTTCGGCCAGGCTCACAACGAGGAGGCCTGACGGTGAGGGACGGACAACCATAAGAATCTTTCGACCCACCTGGATTCGAGCCCAGGTCGCTCTGAGCGGTAGGCTGCCATCTAAACCGCTCGGCCAACCGGCTATTAAACAGAATTCCATATATAACTAAATTATTCCACTATTTATAAAATTTAAAATTGCTTGAACAATAAATTTACATGTGTTTTTTTATAGGTTTTATAGGTTTAAATATTTAAAATTATCGACATATTTTAAAAACTATTATTATTTTTTAAATTAACGAGTTACAGTCATTATGCATTATGTTAAAATATAAAAATTAATATTAAAATTTGCATAATAATTTTTTCTATTTTATCGACACGATCAAATAAACAAATTGCATTAATACAATACTGTATTTCATAATTACATGCATAAGTATACAATACTTCCTACGGGCATTTGATTACGATTTCTCATTGGTCAAAAATGAGAAGATTTTCTAGATTCGTTCAATGGCAAGCCCTTATTAAAAGAACACACTACAATATGTGATTTATGCAAGTTGACCGATTGTTATCGCGCTGCCGTTGGTGTGAATGATATCGGATTATCACATAGTTTAAAGTTCCATACTGTATGTCTCAATTAGAAGTTAATAGTAATGTTGTCAAATTGATAAACATGCAGAGCTCACATAACATCGATGAAGGTGGGAGAAGCGAGAATAATTTGTACGAAATGCCTCCTACGGAAATAGTTGATTCGACGAGAAGACAAATATCTAGCAGTTTTGGTAATGTGGCAGGGAATAAAAAACTCGCTTTTGCTTCTATTGCCATTCTCTGTTTTATCAATTTAATAAATTATATGGATAGATATACTGTTGCTGGTAAGATATACTTTCTCTTTGCCTATGTATTGTTTTTAATAAAGCCAATGATTTATCAGTTTTATATTGATATTTAATGATACTGTACAGTATACATTTAATTTAATTTCTAAAAATCTATAGAGTTAAGTTTTTATTTTGCAATTGCTTTGAAATAAATTAGGTCATAATAAAGGAAGGTTTTAAGGTATTAATTAATAAGATTGAGTTATTTACTTCCATTTTTTAATTTTCAGCTTTATATTCTGATTCTTTTAATAATAATTATTTTAATAAATGTTTTTAATCAAATTAGAGAACAATCCCTTTTTTTAATATATCAAACTTTGTACAAAGTGATTTTTTTTTTTTTTTTTATCTATAAAAATAATTAAAATTTTAGTTTCAAATTTTTATATATAAAAGTTTGTTTATTGTATAATGTATGTGATAAAACTTTAAAAATGTTTTATATAAAATTTATATAAACATTTAAATAGTTATCAAGATTAAAATATAGCTTTTCCCTCTTTTTACAAAATCTCTTTTCAACTATTATTAACTAGAGTTCAGTAGTATAACCAGATCTAACTTAAAGGTGGCACAAGTTTAAATTTATTGTAAATCACTATACATTTCAATGAATTTTTGCTTTTAATATATAATAGATTATTTTTCCTATAGTTCAAACACTGCCTTTACACACTGTAAGATATAGCTATAAAACATTGTTACCAAAAGCATCTTATTTGTAAATTAGCTAATGCTTATTCCAACAGGGATACTTGTTCTACACCCACTAACAATGCATTGCAGATTGGGAACACTCGCAAGTGCCACATTGTTCTAGATTATAACCAGTGCTTTTTTTGGGGAAAAAAGGTGGTGGAATGCTCATCTCATTACTAAAAATATATTACATGCATCGTACACAAGATTCAGCACACGAGCAGAACTGTCTTAATAATTTTGTTGCCGATCTTCTATTCTCAACAGAACGATTCAATTCATCCCAAACATCAAATTTTCAAAAATTCTCTTAAAATCTTTAAAATATATCGAAAAAAGGTGGTGGAACGCTGTTCCATTGCATTCTATGACAAAAAAGTGCTGATTATAACCATAACATGGGAAGCTTATATAAAGAAATTGCCCGTTGGAAAGGTGATAGTGGGAACATGTTTATACGTTAATCTATCTGTAATATCCTCAAATGGAAAAGATAACACCGATGATCTTGGGGTACCAGGAGTTTATAGGATTCTGTTGAGAGAAAATAGATTTGAATGTGATCTTGAGTACATCAGCACCATCACGCGATCACTAAACTAAGGCTTGCTGAACACAAATGATATTGATAAAAGAGAATACAACACCGCCCTAGTCAGGTACACCATGGACAACAATGTTCAAGCCTATCTAGACAAAGCTTCTATTTATACAGCGATCTAAGCATGATGACTAAATCAGGAGACTAGAAGCTCTCAAGGTATTTAAATTTGAAAAGTTGCATCAATTGCAAAGATGAACAACAATTATCTTATGCATTGCAATCTTTATACCAACAAGAACAGTCTATTTTTAAAAAAATTAAAAAAAAATTTTTTTTTTTAATTCTTGTTTCTTAAGGTTATTTGAAAAAATGTATAATGTTCCATTTTCTGCATTCCATTTGAGAATGATTTAACCTGAAGATGATTTCATTTGTAGATAGGTAAAAAACGTTTGTGTTTTATCTACATTAAACTATTCTGGAATTGTACTTTTAAGGTTGAGGTGTGCTGTTTATATTTTTCCTATATTTAGCATTTTTATTAACTTTTTCATTATCAAGGGAGGGGCCTGTGCTTGAGTTGTAATACTATTGCTGTAGTCAACCAGAATTATAGATTATGTAAAATAAATGCAAAAGTTACATGCAAGTGTTAAAATTTAATTTTTTTTTTCAAGACTATTGTTGATATATTAGTCTTATGCTACTTAAAACTATAAATTTAATTTGTGTTAAAGATGTTTTTGGGTTTATTTAATCCTGTAATTATTAAAAAATTTATTTATTAGTATGTTAGTTATTAGATATGTGGTATATGGATATTTAATTATTTGTGGATGTTCAGTTGTATACCACTTTTTTCACTTAGAAAATATAAAGGAATTGATTTCATTTAGTCACATGGGTAGTATCGTATTATGTAAACTTATACTGCTGTAAATGATAAGAAATGTAATAGAAAACACCTTTTTAATAAGTTAACTTTTTCAGCTACCTTTTTTTTTTTTTAATATCTATCACTAGGCTTTAAATCCAGCTTACAAACTGACAGAATATAAACATCTGACAAAAATTTGTTGTAATGCATAGCTTAAACTTCTCCATTTAACACTTTTTTTTTTTTACCAGAGAAAATTTGTTTCATAGGTATATAAATAATTATTTAGTGATATTAAATCTTATAACAATTTATTCCAAAACTGTTTTTTGTTTACATATTATTTTATCATTTATTACCATGTGCTTTAAAGACAAAAACAAATCTGTAAGCCAATGTAAGCCAGATGAATTTGTTTTTATTTTTAAATAAAGAATTAAATCTTGGCTAAATATTTGATACTGAATGCTCAGGCCATCTTTTGGTATTTTCAAAGTTAACTAATATTTTGATTTTTTAATTGACAATTATGAAAATGGTGCTTTTCATAAATATGTATTACAAAATTTTACTGTAGTCAAATGTATTCTTGTATGTATGTATGTATGTAGTCAAATGTTTTGTGACACCCTATATTCAATTATGTGACCCCAAAGGGGTTGTGATTGTGACTCTAAGAAGCCCTGTGCTAATATTTTGTAAGTGCTGCATTGCATTGACTTGTATTTAAACTGGATTTGAAGCTTGATGGTTCTAGTAAAACTAGCCGAAAGCATTAGTCTATTAAAGAACTTTTTCATTTTTTAAAGTTATTTTCCTATTTTATCATTGATAAAATAGCAAATACTTTGAAAGAATATATTTTATATCTATACATATGAATTAAATTTAAAATTTTTTGTTGCTATTCAATATTTAGCTTATTTAACAAAATTGATTAGAATAAAGGATTAAAATAGACTGTCAGTTTTGTTTAATTTTCTTTTTATAGATAAATTATAATAATTAAATGTTAGGAAGGCTATTTGACTGAAAGATAGAATATTAAGTTGGATGTACTGTACATAAGACAATTTTAATGGCATCTTTTGGGGTTAAACATTTTTTTTCAGAGATTTATAGTAAATCTTAATGTTTTTATGCTGTATTCTTTGAGAACAAGAAAAAACTTTAAATTTTTAAAATTTTAAAAGTTTGTACTAGTTTTTAAGATTAAGAATTATATTGTAAATCTTAAGAACTCAGTAGCACACACAGAATTTAATTTTGGGAGCAAAGTTGAATGGATCAAAGAACTTACATTAAAAATTCAATAATTTCCACTATGTGGCCACTAATTCATTAGTAGTAAAGAAATAGACCTGACAAAATTTAAAAAAATGAATTTTAATTAAGAAAAGCTTTTTTGAAAATTTTCTAGTTTTTTCTTTTTCTCTGGATATGCCACTGCAAGATCTTACTCTGTTAGTTCTGATCATTTCTAATACCTTAGGTTTGGTTGAATGTAATAAGTATTTGTTTCCATTTGTATCAATTTTTGATGAATTGTTAGATTTGTCTACAATAAGGTTTACCAGATCAGAAACCTGCCTCATATGTTATCAATTTAATAAACTGGGCAGTGTGATTTGGAACCATTCTTTTTAAGAGCCTTGAAAACATGTTAAAAGAGAATAGTTTTCAAGCTTTTGGACCTATTTATTCCTTATCATATTTCAGTAAGGGATTATTTTAGCTTTCTGCATGATTTAAGTTTATTAACACTACAAATAATTTGTTTTTTTATAGACATGTAACGATACAGCTGTAGCAGCACAGATTAGACATTTAGATAAACTATAAACATCCAACTCAAATCTCATCTCAAGTATGTGGCTTTTCACTTTAGAAAGAGCACAACTAGAGCATACCCAAGTATCTGAATATGAAACTGAACTGCATGCTTAAAGTATGGTACATTAGGATAGGAAAGGGAAAAAGTAATAATAATGTAATAATGTACTTACATTTTTTTTATGGTAATTTATTTCTGTTTATTGTTAGAAAACCAAATGATCAACAGAAGAAACTAACTGGTGATCAGTTTTTCGTTAGACAAAATATAAAAAGAGTAAATATGTAGAAATGAAAATAAAGTTGGAATTCAAATGTCAGTCACTAAAACTGAAATACATGCATTGGCAAAATTATTGGTATTTCAGGGAATTTTGAAAACTTGTGCATTCTGTAGATCAGTTAGTTGCATGCTACTTTTTCTTTGAGGTTTCATTTTCAAAATGGAGTATCTGCAGAAATCATGAATTAATCAAATACAGTAGAACCTCGATTATCCGCCCCCCGATCAACCGACCCCTCGGTTAACCGACCGTCCTAGTCGGCAAATTTCAAATGTCCGCTAGTGATGTGGCGCTACAATAGCGACGATTATTATTTTAAAAAATTTTTGTTAGGCTTAACATCGATGAAAATTCAACGCAAAATAGGTTAATAGCGATATACTAATATACTAATTACATGGGATATANGGAGACGAGTTAAAGGATTACTCAAGTGTGAAGAAATTAGTGTTACGAGAATACGAACCGTCCGTCCAATGCTGCCTAGAAAATTTTCGAAGTGCTAGATATAGGCCCAACAAGACTCGCATGCAATTTATGTTGAGAATAGCATCGTAAAATACTTAGCTTAAAATTGTCATGTTTTTCCATTGCAAAAAAAAAATGGTGGCACCAAGAATTGATGAATTGTTATGAAATTTTTGAACAAATGGACAAAGCCCCAGTGTAAAGTAATTGCATAGTAATTCTAATCATTAAAATTTAATAAATAACTAATCAAATCAGATTTTTTTTATCAAACTTTATCAACTTTATCAAACTTAACTTTTTGGTTAATTAAATAAATATATAAATGTTATGTAATTTAGACTTATATAACTTTATCCAAGTATTAACTAATTATATATATGTATTTAATTAGCCAAAGTGTAGCCTGTTAAACAATAAATCAAGTTGGATTTTATTTACATGATTCTAGCTTGGTATCTTATATTATTTAGTTAATTTAACCTAAATCAAAATTTAATTCTAATTATTAAAATTTAATATAGTTTACTATATAATTATGAAAATGAATGATAGCAAAAATCCTACATACCTATCTGTTTATGACAAAGTAACTGTGCATTCTGCTAACAAATTTTAGCTTAGTATGCTATCAAATTCTTTATATAATAAAAATATTATTCCAAACTGGTGTGATTCAATTTGCCAATAAGTGTCATGTTTTTTGTAAATTACAACTTTTTTAGTTTTTCACTTGTAACATTTAGTCTTGAGCCATTGAAAAAGATAGTTTACAGTAGACCTGGACTTTTCATATAAGGATCTTTCTGTCAGTATTAAAATAACAATAAAAGGTCATACCATCTAGATTGGTTTTTAGAAAATGTTTTTTATTATATATTTTTTGATTTTGAAAAATTTATGTTGTTTTCCAATAAAGTATACTGTTTGAACTGACGTGTTCTCAACTCTGATGGTGAAAACTGTACAGTAAATGATCTTTGATACATTCAAATTACTAAAACTTCAGATCATCCATATTCTGATTTCTATCTAATAGTTTTAGAAATTTTGTTTCAAAATTATAATATAAATTTTGTTGTCTGTGTCAATATGATTATTACATATGACATAACTTTAGTGAAGAAATATATCTGTTTAAAATTAGTTTAACAAGTGATTTCCACACATGCATATTCATTTTCCACACACTTTATACATTAATTTGCATTTTTATGAAAAAATATTAAAATATTTTATTTAAATACCAAATTTGGAAGGCAAAGCTCAAGCTTTTCACTATATAATTGTTTAATGCTAATGGAAAATCAAATCCAATAAATTCTTTATAATTTTTTACACTCTCAATTTGATTTTTTCATAATTCTTTTTATTTACAGGTGTATTAATAGCAATTCAAAAGTTTTATAATCTCAATGATGCAGATGCTGGCTTGATTCAAACTTCGTTCATTTGTAGCTATATGATTTTTGCTCCAATATTTGGTTATCTTGGTGATCGATATAGTCGAAAATGGCTAATTGTTGGTGGTATTTCTTTTTGGAGTGCCACAACATTATTGGGATCCTTTATACCAAAAGGAGTGAGTTTATATATATATAACTTTAATTTTTGAATTTTTTTATGAAATAAAACAATTTTGAAAATAACATGATTTTATATATAAATATATACATTAAAAATTATTTATGGACTGTGATTAATATGGACATTATGAATAACAACAAGCAAAATCGGGCATTGTAATAAATTCCAGGTGTTTAACATAACATAATTTGTCAAATTGACTGGTCATTATGAATACTGCTATCACCTAGTCAAGCAAAGTGATAGTAATACGTTGTGGAGTAATCATCCAACATACACTAGCCAATCAGCATTCTGAGTTGCACGTGCGTATTTCATTTAGTATCTGATTTTAAATTTATGCGACCAGTAGTTAATCTTGTGACATTTTAATTTTACTTTTCTCTTAAAATAGTGTTTTTCTTCTTTTGAAAAAAGTAATGATTATGGAGCAATTATTAAGTGATATGAATAATCATTTCAACAACCACTGATTTAAATTAATAGCAGAACAGTCCAAAAAGGTTAGAACAGTCAAATTTTTACAAAATCAGCTTTTTGTATCATTGTCAAAAAGTGAGTCAAAAATGAAAGTTACTTCTAAATTACCAGAATATCTGTATTTACATAGATATGATGATGTATCTATCGAAGAAATAGAAAAATGAATTGTGCCTGTAAAAGAAGCTAATTTGATTAAATATGTTCACACTGAAGAAATATTTCAGATATTGCATGATGTCCATATTGCTATTGGCCATGGTGAAGAAACCATATGGAAAAAGAATTAAGTATGAAATATAAAAATGTTACAAGGGAGATGACCATAATTTATTTGAACTTTTATGAAATCTGTCAGAAAAAGCAGAATGTTATCTAAGAAAGGCTTGGTAGTTAAACCAATTTTATGTAATGAAATGAACTCAAGATATCAGGTTGCTCTTATAGATATGCAGTCACAAGCCAATGAGCAATATAAATTTATACTCGTGTATCAAGACCATGTAACTAAATTCATTCAACTACGACCATTAAAAACCAAAATGACTGAAGATGTAGCGCATGTTCTTTTAGACATTTTTACAATTTTCGGTGCACAAGTATTCTGTAAAGCGATAATGGCAGAGACTTTGCCAATAATGTCATCAAAGAAATGTGTAGTGTGGTCTGAGTTAAAAATGATGTATGGAAAGCCCAGGCACTCACAAAGTCAGGGTTCAGTAGAAAGATGTAATCAAGATGTAGAAAATATGCTTAGTCCTTGGTTGAAGGCTAACAATCCTAACAAATGGTCGGAAGGATTACATTTTGTACAACTGATAAAACAAATAGAGCACATCATACTGGTATAAACTGCAGTCCCTGTGAGGCCATGTTTGGAGCAAAGTTAAAAGTTGGACTAAAGAATTTTATACCCACTAGATTGTTGACCAATATTAATATGGAGGAAGATCTACAGACTCTTTAAAACTATCAATGAAGTAAAAGTTACTCAAACTCTGAAAGATCAGGTACCATCCAAGAAAATATTATAATAAGATTATTTGATAATTATCAACTGATTATGAAATAATCAACTGATGAAGTTCAAAGATCTACATCATCTTCACATGAAAAAGATCTAAGCCAGGATGTTATTAGTATTACAGAGTTGGTGAATGATGATAAAAGTCCAAACAGTTGACCCAAAAATAGAAGAAAAACTAAGAAGTCTGTCTAAAACAACGGAGATGGCTTTTGTTTAATCTTAAAAAACAAGCAGAAAAAAATTATTGATACATTGAATCCCAAATACACAACAGCTAATGTTGGTGATACGGTAAGGATTAGTGTACCAGATGTAGATTGAGCCCACAGTGATGGAAAAAATATTGTTTGTTGTTGTTGCAGTTAAAGATAAAAATTTTTACAAACTGGGTACCAAATATGGCATATTAAATCTATTATATTCCAGAAACCAGAAAACTTCATTTCTGTTGGAGATGTACCAAGTGCAGAAATTTTGCTTAGAGAATGTCCAAGAATGTCATCAATTTCTGGAGGCCAAAGCTATAGTTGATTCTGCTGCAAAATTGGTTGCAAATCTAATAGATTCAAATGCTACAAAGAAAAAATTATGTAATTCCAAATGTCATAAAAATCTTAATTGCTCAAATAAATAAACTAAAAAACATTTTAATTTTTTATGTAATTTATACCAAAAATGAAATTCCAGAAGTTTCCTGTAAGTTGATTTGTTTGTTTGAAGTATGAATTTGTTAATAATAATTTTCGTTAATAGTAGTTTAATTAATACTGTTAATAGTGCTTACTTTTAAAAGATTGCCTTTTTTAAAATACTTTGAAATAATTCACAAAAAATAAATAATTCTAAATGAAAAAGTGGAGTATTTTTTTTAAACAAATTGCTCAAAGGAAATGTAGCTTTAATTTATTAAATTGACCAGACATTATGAATAATCAACATTTATCAAACTGCATGCCTATTTTAGTCATTATTCATAATGGCTGGGCATTATGAATAATGCCCTATTAATCACTTGATCCATAACATAATCGTTTTTGGAAAATTTAAATGTATTTTATAAATATAAAATAGTATAATATATAATTTCTCTATTTCAGTATTTTCCATGGTTCCTTGCACTTCGTGCTTTAGTAGGCGTTGGAGAAGCAAGTTATTCTACTGTAGCACCAACAATCATCGCAGATTTATTTTCAAAAACAATACGAACCAGAGTGCTTGCACTTTTTTATTTTGCTATACCAGTAGGAAGGTACATCTGTTTTTTCAATATTAAATGTAACTTCAAACTTAAATTATTTTTATTTCTAAACAAGTTTTTGAATTTTATAGTGCAAATTCAATTTGAACTACTATTTTTTTTTGTATTCTTAAAATTTTAATTAAAATTTACAAATTTATATATAAATATATATTTAATAGTTACATAACTTAGAATAAACCTCATTTTGGAATTAGCCAGATGAAGCATCTGTTATTGTGAGAGAGATTTTAGTTGATGTGGGTCCTCATGACTTATGGATAGTTCAAGTTATAACATCCCACGTTCATTGTTCACTCATGCTGGCAAACTCCATCAAAAATTGGATTCATTCAGGTCATAGTTGTGCTGAATGCTATGGTTCAAACATTATTATTGCTTTCATATTGACTGTATCAAGAAATATAAACAGTATATTGTTGAAAAAATATTAAAATTTTAAATATACAGTACATATTTTTCAACATTACAAATACATAGTAAAACCTGAGTTTAGTGGACAAAACATCTGGCTCCAGCAAAGCAATTGTATTATTAATGTATTTTTATCTTGAATAAGAGAAGTCAAAAATTGTTACCTTTCCTATTCTTAAATCTTTATTCATAACGTCTGGTCAATTTAATAAATTAACTAATCAGACAATATAATTACATGCTTCCCATGAATCAGTTTAAAAATATCATGCTATCAATAGTCATTCTGTAGAATTTTTGTTCTTTAACTTATCAAAATTAAATTTTCAGTTCCATTTTTTAGATAGTACTCTGACACAATGTACTTTTGGTAGATTGATGATGATGATAATTCTCTTTGCATAATAGAGAGGCATTAAGAAACTAAAAAAATCAAGAAGGAAAGGATAACAGAAGCAGAATGAATTAAGGAAGTCATGTATTGTGAAAATGCTCATATTTTGTTTTGAGAAGTCTAGTAGTGTAATCAATGTTGCCTATCAGAAGAAATCCAGAAGAAAATATACAGTACTTCATTCTGTAACTTTTCTTTTGGATTTGTTTAATTTTCTTTCTCCTTGTTAAATTTAGTTCAGAATTGTGCTTAATACTTCTAGTACCAAATTGTTATTTCAAAGACCTCCAATTTTAATGATTCTCTGGCTATTTCTGATTATGGTTCTTATGCATGTTTTACTAACAAGCAAGTAGCCGACCTAGCTTTTTCAACAATAGGTATTAATGCAGTGCCTAGTTTGTATTTTCACAAATGCAAACCAAACTGGGTAGTACACTAACCTAGTGTGTTAACACTTGCATATCTAATTATATCTTATTACAATGGTTAAGTTTGCAGTTTGGTTTATTTTGTTTTACAAATTAACAAAAAGGTTGTACTTTATGTATTTAGTAAGTTTTATAACTTTTTCCTCCTTGTAACCGGAGAATCTTCCTTTTTTTTTTTTCTTTTTTTTGCTAAAATTTATTAAAAATTACACTAACTTTAATTTATATTGTTCAACTTAAACTGTTTTTAACTTCTTTAAATATGTAAAAATTTGTTTTTTATGAAGTATTTGATTATGTTGTATTTTTTTTAGTGGTGTAGGATACATAGTTGGTGCTAAAATTGCCAATATATTTGGGCATTGGTACTGGGCCTTAAGAGTAAGTTTTTTAATATATTTGCAAATAGAAAAATAATAATTTTAAAATTTTTTCATTTTTGTATTGTAGGCAACACCAATTTTGGGTTTATTAGCCATTATTCTTGCAATACTATTTCTACGTGACCCTCCTAGGGGTGAAGCAGAAGGTGGTGTACATCTTACACAAACTAGTATTAAAGAAGATTTATTATATTTATCAAAAAAGTAACTTCAGCTATGTATATTTATTTATTTTTTATTTTTTTTTTTATTTGATCTGCTATATATGTTATGCTTATAATTTGTCTTTTGTAGGGTTGATAAATTTTTATCTATTTTGTCATGCATTACTTTATTTAATTTTTTTTAAATTTGCATGTTTACTTACTCTAGAAACTATTTAACAAGCTTTTATTCTAGTTGTAAAAAAAATTACATTTTGTTCATATTTTAAATTACAAGGAATATAAGAGAAAATAGAAATGAAATGTTAATTGGAGTCAAACTAAATATCTTCAGTTATAATTGGTTATTTTTCCCCCCTTTTTTTTATCAAGATTTAAAAATCAACAAAATTGACATTTAATTTTAAAAAATTACCTAGTTCAATTTTTTATTATAATGTTTCATGCATATATGCTGTAAATTTGCCACTCTTAGTGTTGCTAAATAAACTTGTTTTAGAAAAAACTTTAGATAAATTATTTTGAATAATTTTTATTTTAGATATTGCATCTCCATAAATAATAACTAATTGAAAAAATGAACCTTTTTTTTTTTTATTTTAGTTTTTGAAGCCTTAAGAAGCTTTAATATTTTTGTTCTGGCAGTTTTGAAGCAAATGATGTTATTTTAATAATCTTGTAAATGAACAAGAACACAATTAGCTAGGCAATGGAATAGTTTAGAAATATAATATCAGTACAAAGCTTTTATGAAAAATTTCAACATTTCGATAAAATAATTTGTTAGAAATTTTAATATTTTGCTGTTTCTTTTAAATTAACCATTTTTTGGTTATTTACAAGTAATTTGATTCTCTGCAGTTTATAACCCTATGGTTAAAGCTTTAAAAGTCCAATTTTGACAATCTATTATATCTTTAGTCTAGTCTTTTAAAAAGTTTTTTTTAAAGATTTTGGAAGCTGTTCTATAGAAACTTTTTTTTGCTTTTGTCCCTGGTTTCATGCAAGTCAAGGTTTTATGGAAAGGCACACACAACCTTGAAACCTTGAAACACATTAAGCACAAAGTGTTGCAAATATCTTGCACACAGAGGAATTCACCTAGGCCATGTTGCAGAAATGCAACACTCTATTCATTGACATGTGTGATTTGCATTACTTTGGAGCAATGAACTAGCCATATAAATGTAATAGTAGTAGTTAGAGCATGGTCTGTGGAAAATGAAAATGTCACTTTACCCAATACATTTTTTTATGATAGAATACTAATAGGAAAATTATTTTTTATTTTCCTATAAAATGAAATATAAGCAAAATTTGCCTTTTCTAATGTTTCTTGTACATTGAACATAACTACAATATCGTGGAAATACATAACACAAAAACAAATATATTCAAGAAATGGTTTTTTTTTCAGTGAACACAAAACAGTAAGAATAATTACTAAATATCTCAGCTATTTTCTTTTTATTTTTCTTTGATTTGTATTGATCCAATTATGCAACCTTGTATATGGTAGAAATTCTGTTGAATTCAAAACCTGATTAGCATAAAAGATGGCATAACATGATAATCATACAGGCCACACATTGCAATTCTACAACATGCCTAAAACTTGTTTAACAATGCAGATAAAATTATTATTAGTATATTGAATAGCAATCATATTTGTGTTTTGTCCATAAAAAGGAGCATGGCCCAATGTTATATTTTATGTGGTACTTAATGTTTTAAAAGAAATAAGACTGAAATTGAACTTATTGAAGAACCTTACCTGTAAGTTATTAACTACACACTCAATTATCTCTTGAATGATTGTTTTTGAAAATAGAAATACAGTAAGACCCTGCTATAAAGTAAAAATACAGTAATAAAATAAAGTAGAAATACAGTAATAAAATAAAGTAGAAATACAGTAAGTTCCTAGACAACAAAGCGTTAAGCAAAACAGCGTTAAACGAGGTCATTTTAACATAGAGTAAATAGGGATAGGGAACACGCGACTGAAAATAAACAAATTTTTACTTTAAGTTATATTTTTATATTAATTTGTATAATATGTTAAATAACACATATTAAACACATGCACACAGAAATATATAATATATTTAGTTCACTTTTTTCTGTATTAATAGTTTATTTTTTGTGACAAAAGACCTGCTTTTCTAAAATTCTTGGTTTTTTGCAATAAAGTCCTGAAGTTTCATTTGTCGCTTTTCTTTCCTTAAGCAAATGTCGGTAGCAGAAGATCACATCCAAAACACCTCGTTTTGCTTTTGTACTCCTTTCAAAATCTGGATCATTAACCAAAATTGTTGATCAAATTATAGCAATCTTACCAAGCTTTTACTAGGAAATCTGTAGAGAAATTTCTTGGGTTCTTTGATTTCAGAATCTCTTTTCCAGTTTCAATGAATTCCATGTTCTGCCAGTTCTTGAAGGTCATTGTTGGTAAGGCTCTCACCAGAAACCTGCAGTAACTCCTCAATATCCTGCTCGTCTACATCTCCTAGTCGTTGTATCGTTAGGTTGAGTTTAGTCATCCTAACGATACAGCAATAGGCTTTTTTTGTTGAGAATTCTTGGATACCTTCAGCCATAACTTCTTCCACCCTTCATTTGTGCATGTATCAGTTAATTCTTGCCAAGCGAAGTTGATATTTCCTATGGTATCCATGATGTTATATTTTTCCCAAAATTGCACCAAACAAACATAGCTTTAAAGAAAGTACACGAAAGTACACCTTTTTGCCACCTTTTGCTGATTGGATTATGTTTGAAAATAATCATATATACGAATTAGTGAAATGGCACGATAATTTAAATTGGTGTAAATTCTGAACTTTTTTTAGGCAGGCAGTATTATATTGAATCAGTGTTAAGCGGAATCTACTGTGTAAGCAATTTCAGTTATAAAATCTTAACATTTTATTTCATCAGTTTTACATAAATATTCATTATTGAAATGTTAAAAGCTTTTCATATTTTTAAAATTTTATTATGAAAACTATTCTGTTGCCTAGCTGGTTTTTTTTTTTAATTATTGTAATGTTTTTGAAGATAAGCATTGCTTACTAAAATGCAAATATAAAACTTCTTAAATTTCCAAAAAAACAAACATATTTTTAGAATTTTTTGATTTGTTGTTTTTTTGAAACCGTGTCTTGTTTTATAATTGTGGCATAGTAAACACTAGTATTGTGTTTTTATTCCAGAGACATATAGCAAGTTTTCCATCAAATTCCTTCATTGGTTGAGTCTATACGGTACATTGTTTTGTACTCGTTTTGGGCTTTGCCCCTCTTCAATCAACTAAAAAATACAATATGTATTTTTTAACTTATTATAGTAGAGAATTTACATAAAACAATGAGTACATAAACAATATTTAGATGTACCTTTTGGTTACACTTTGTATAATTTAAAAACATGTAAAATCTGCTTTAATCTTTTGTAAATAAACTAGTATATATTACAAATTAAAAGGTTAAAATCTTCTAAAACCTTCTCTTTTACGCATATTTTGATACAACACAACTGCAAAAAATATTTAGCTGTTTCCGCCCCCTTTTTATTTTTTCTTTTGTGCTGGTATCTCAAGTGTTGCCACATATGACGTTTGCCACCTTGTGGTTTGATTTTTACCAAAATCTGTCTTGGAAAAATTATTTCTAGGAGAAATTGCTTTTCACAGTAAAAAAATAAAAAATAAGTAAATAAATAAATAAAAATTATTTATAATATATTAATCCAGTTTTCGTTTATTTTAAGACTTAAGTTTTTATTTATACTGTCTTTACTTTTCATGATTTTTATGGTTTCTTTAAACTTCCTGTTGTATGTTAATTTTTCTTTATGCAGTATTTCTACATTATCTTTATCTATATTACAGTTGTTTATAGTACAATGGTCGTAAAATGCAGAATTTTTCTATTGTATTTTAGGTCCACTATGTGTTCTTTCAGTCTAGTTTTTACTTTTCTTTTTGTTTTGTTTCTCCTATGTAATGTTTTTTGTTTGCGCAGGTACACAGAATTTTATATACTACACCTTGATTTTCAGTCGGTATTTGCTGGTTTTTCTTCTGGTTCGAGGTTAACAGTCTGCTCTCCTGTGTCTTTAGAATAAAACAATACTAGTGTCCACTACGCCACAAAAGAAAAACTTTCTTTTTTAATTGGATTTAAGACATTGGCTTTATTATCTACTATTGATCAAATATTTTGGATTTGAACTTAAATTTCCTAATATACCTTACTATAATCAATGACCTAAGTAATAGACTGGCAAAGTAGCATAGTTCCTTGAAGCTTCCCGTCTTTGGTGGCCTTCGCTAAGACAGGTAAAAAGCTGCACTCTCGAATGCTTGCTTATATAAACCAAAGAACTGATTTGTTTTCTTCCCAAAACTGCATGACTACTTATAATATATACAAGGTCTGTTCAAAAAGTATCGGACCTTTGGTCGGCAAAAATAAATTTATTGACTTTGAGGTACAAAACCCTAATCCCCTTCAAAGTAGTCTCCTTGGTAATGTATACACTTCTCCCAGCGTTCCTGCCATTGCTGAAAGCACTGCTGGAACGCATTTTCTGGAATGGCCATCAGCCGGTCCGTCGCATTTCGCACGATGTCTTCTCTCGACTAAATTCGTGTTCCTTTTAGCGGCATTTTCAGCTTGGGAAATAGCCAAAAGTCACAC